CTTTATTTTAACACAGTACTTAAACTTTGGTCGTGGCAGACCTTTTGTGAGAGCTATCAGCTGGCATAGAATTTGTTTCCAAATAAGTAATGAAAATTTCTATATATTCCGCTAGCTATCTCACAAAATGGTATTTGCTGTTAATATGTTCCGATCAACTTTGCAGCACTTTGACTGTCACTAAACAATTCTACTGACACTTGTACACCAGTTAATTCTTCATATAAATTTTTCACAGACATTATATGTTTAGCAGCCTCGCAAGCAGCGATATACACAGCTTCTGCTGAGCATAATGCAATACATCGCTGCTTACGTGCTCGCCACTCTATTTCAGCGCCACATAAAACAAGCATATATCCCGTAAACGAATGACCATTTTCATTTTTACCCCAATCTGCATCACAAAAAGCATATAACGGTTTTCCAGTTTTCTCATATTTTAAAATATTATTCATTGTGCCTTAGACGTACCGTAAAACACGTTTTAAAGCAGACATATGAGTTGTGTTCCAGAAGTTGTTGAATTGACAGAGATAACTTACAACAAAAACAATGTCTGGTCTTGTACCTAAAGCAATATGTATATTGCTTCTACATATTGCTTTAGGTACAAGACCATTCAAACCCAATAATTTCTTGATAGCTAGGATCATGATTTATGTCACCCTTTTCTAACTTCAAATTCATTTCCAATGGTGTCGCAACAGGTTTGCAATCTTCCATACCAAATCGTTCTAATATCTTTTTTATCAAAATTAGTCTGATTCAAATGAATTTCTTTTAAGTTTTTCTGATTTAGTGATTTGCATACCCGGACATTTTCTAACCTCACCCAAATCCTTAATCTTGAAACCAAATCTTATGTGATCTTTAACTTGATCAACAACATGTTGTGAACAGCCAAAAATATAAAAAATCATCTAGATACAGAGCAATAGCTATAAAATTATTCGTACTTCTTTTAATATACTCACAAGAATCATAATTTGACCTCATGAAGACATACTTAATAATGTAGATGCTCACATTATAAAGTATGGCTTGACGTTCCAACATCGAGCTGCTTGTTTCAATACATATATGGATTCTATTTCCCTTCTTGACAAAGGTTTCTGGTTGCTCCATGTAAAGATCTTCTGTAAAGATGAAGAAGAAGGCCGTAAAACATTGATATGATGTACCTTGAGGTCTTTCTCAACAGATAAAACAAACAAAACAAAAAGGTTTCGAAATAATCTTCTCCCCACTTATGGGAATAACCTTTGGCAACTATCTTGCCTAATGTCACTGACCTACACCATTGGCTCCTATTTTGAGTTTAAATAACCGCTAACATTTAACCACATTGGTCCCACAAGAACGGTTAACTAAATCCCAAGTGCCATTCTCGATAGTGGAATTATATTCTTCTTTCATTGCTTTTCTCCAGAGCGTCTTATCTGAGCGCTTCATTGCATATTTTCTATTTACGGACCACATCAGTCGAACTCAATTGAATATAATTAACGACTCAATTAAGACCTATATAAGCTCATCCTTATTGAGTTAAATTTTATATCAATAGGTGGCGCTTGTGTGGTTGCCCTACTGACTTTTTTTTCTACTTTTTTTTTTTTTTGTTTATAATGCGGAATAAAATAATGTTTTATCTGAAGAAATCTTGTTTTTCATTTTAGAATTGAAATCATTCGATTTGAAATCATCCGCCTGGATAACCTGAATAGGTTATGGGCCCATTTTATTTGGTGATAAACAAAGAGCAAAAGAAAAATAATAAAGTGCAACGTATTTGATTTGTCTTGGCTTTACATGTGCAAACAAAATGGAGATTGGAAAAAATATTCAAGAAAAATTTGATGAAACAAATTTGAAACAGTGGAAATTCCAGATAAGGTGTGCTCTTCAAGCAAAAGGGTTAGATATCTACAAGCTAAAACCAGAAGGAAATTAAATTCAATGGAATAAAGATGATGGGTTGGCAATGTTTATAATAACAGCTATGGATTTAAATAAAATATCACTTATTGAAAATTGCGAATCAGCACTAGAGGTGATGACAAAACTTGAATCCATCTATGAACAAAAATCCGAAATGACTAAAATGATGATACATGAGCGCTTCTATTAATATAAAATCTCATTGACAAATAGCATCGCGCAGCATATTGCCAAAGTTGAAGGCTTGGCTAAGCAACTTAAAGAAAGTGGAGAGATAAGATAAGACCTTTATTTGCTAGAATACACTTAAAAAGTCACAAAAATAAATAATGAGATACAGTATTCTACCCGAGAAAAAGCGTGCAAATATTCTAATCATGCAATTTTCTTAAAAGCCAAAAATTCCTTCACACTATAGAAGCTGTATTCCATAAGCCTCTTTGTCAATTTTAATTTTAATTCATTCATATTCAAAAATTTCTTGTCATCTGGTAAACTATTGTATATAGTTATGCACATGTTGTATACATTATTTTTATAAATGTCCTTATGACAAGGAGGGTGGTACAATAAATTTATATATTTTTGTCTAGTTTGCCGGGGCATAACTTCTATACGTTTAGTCCAATATTTGGAGTTGGAGTGAACAAATAAACATACATCTTTTATATACATACAGGGTAGAGGCTAAACATTAAGCTTCTTAAAAAGTGGTTTACAACTATCATCAAACCAAGCATTGCAAATGACACGAATACACTTCTTTTGAACTCTAAAAACTCTGTCAAGATCAACAGAAGCTCCCCACAATAACAAACCATAGCTCAAAACAGACGACACATATCCATGGTAGGCGATTAAAGCAGCTTCAACAGAGACTGTTCGTTTCAGTTTTTTTATTGCAAATATAAAACGGTTTAGTTTTCCACATATATGGTCAATATTTGCTTCCAATTTAAATGTTTATCAATTAACAATCCAAGAAAACGTACTAAATCTACTTCGTCAATTTCAATATTTTTGTAATTAATTTTTACAGGTATAGGACTTATGTTTTATGATCTGAACTGGATTAATTGAGTTTTATTAATATTTAATTTTAATTTATTTGCATCTAACCATTTAGTGACATCTGATAATGCTGAAGTTATTTGACGTTCAAGAGTTGATATTGTTATTGTCACATTTAATGATTATTGTTGTATCATCTGCAAACATTATGCACTTGTTACTTGTGCTATGTGGCAAATCATTTATGTACACCAGAAACAGCAGTGGTCCAAGAATACTTCCTTGAGGAACGCCGGCATTTTAAATTTTAAGATCAGATCTTTATGTTTGTTTTATAACAACTTTATATTTTTGTACAATTTTGCTTACCTCAGTACTTTGTAACCTGTTTTTTTAAAAAACTTTCTATCCATTCAAGAAGAGCATTGCCTCTGATACCACAATTGCTTAGTGTGTAGAAGTTTAGAGTGGCAAATGAAATCAAACGCTTTACTTATATCTAGGCATAATGACATAACAGTAGTTTTTTTATTAAGGCTTTCAATAATGTAGCGTATAAACTCAAAACATGCTAGAGAAGTTGAGTGACCCTTACGAAATCCATATTGATCAGGATGAAAGTAATTGTGTTTGTTTAGGAAATCTATCAATCTGGAATGCATGGCCTTTTCGAAGATTTTGGATGAAATTGGCACTGAGGTTATAGATCTGTAGTTATTTGGATCCATCCTGTTGCCTTTCTTATGTAATGGTTTTACAATAGAGATTTTTAGCTGCTCTGGAAACTTTCCCTCGGCAAATGATAGATTTATAAGGTGAGTAATCGGATGGTATATAAAAAAAGGCACACAATTTAAGAATGTATGTAGTAATATTGTCGTAACCACTGGCTCTACTATTATTTAAAGATAAATAATTTTATAAGTTTCATTTATATCTATAGGATTCAGAAATATTGTAGAAGAAAATATAAATTCAGAAATATCATGAATAATTGATTAAAATGTCATGTGATGTTTCGTAGAGTCATTTTTGTTCGTCAAGTTTATAAAAAAAAAATATTCAAAATATTGCTAATGTCAAAAGGATTATTGTATATTTGATTATCATAAGAAATTAATGTCATAATCATGTATATTATTCGAAGTCATTGATGATATTGTACATATTCCAGGTGGCTTTACATTTGTTTTTATTGTTTCGTATGTACCTGTTATTATTAATTCTTTGTGCACATAAAATACATTTCTTTAGAATGGTGTTATATTTTTTAAGTTTCGTTTTAATTTCTGATTTTCCGTATTTTATGTTTTTGTATTTAACATGACTTTTTAATACCTTTTGATAGCCAAATTAGTTTATTGACGCAATCATTAATTTTAACTTTGATTATTGGAAAACAAAGGTCGTAAAAAAGACGTACTTTATCATAAAAACACTGGAACGCACTAACAAAATTGTCGTTATTCAATACATCAGAAAAAGAAAGAGACGACAGACATTCAAAGAATTTGGATACGTTGTAGTTACAATAATCACGTTTCAGCTCAAACCAAGTAGAGTAATGTTTTTGTTTATCTTTTACCTTAATCTGAATTGTTTGAGCTGTTTCATGATCCGATAACCACAGATAATGAACTTCAGGAATTGCCGATTTTATATTACTAGCAATTTGGTCAATGCATGATTTTTTTCCTGGTTGGTTCATTTATGTGAACTTTTAAGCCATGGTTATGTAGTGTATTTAATAAATCATTAGTGGCAGAAGCTTTTTTCAAAATTTTTATGTGCCAGTCACCGCACAATACAATTTTTCTGTTTTTACATTTAGTTGTGAACAAATGCAGTAGTTTATCCAGTTTGTACAGAAATATTCCTATGTGTGATTTCGTTTGGACTGGTATTCTGTATATATTTACTACTACAAGACCCAATCCCAAAATATCAACGCCACAACATTCTATTTTTTTGTTTCTTTTCCAAATTATTTAGGCAGGTACATTTCCAGTTTCGTCGACTCTCAATAGTTATAAGATAGAACAATTTAGATGATACATTGCAACAGTGTAGATGGTAGGTATTTTTACAAAGTGAACATATTATGCCGGCTACACACGCTTGGTGTTTGAGGCAAACACCCAACACATGCCAAATACCAACCCACAATCACCCAACAAACACGGCATCCCCAGGCTTGGCGAGCGTGCTAGTGTATTTTGTGAAGGCAAACATGACGGACGTCGACGACGTCGAGCTTATTGCAGCAATTACATTCGGGTTATCCTATTTTTATTTTAAAAAGAAGCAAAATGAAATGAAACTAAAAAGAAGGAAACAAAGACGGTGGTGGATGATCAAAATTCACAGAAATCGTACAAGGTAAGTATATAGGTATTTATATACGTATTGTATTTTAGAATGTGAACAAAGTTAGTAGGTACACATATTATACCTAGGTATCTACATAATGATTGAAATTTTTTTTTTCAGGGAATTTATTGACGAAAAATTTAATGAACTTTTTTACGAACCATTTGGCGAATTTAATAACTTCTGCCGTATGACCTATTCAGATTTTGAATTTTTGCTAGGCAAAATTTCTCCTATGATTATTAAGCAAGATACAGACTTTAGAGAGGCCATACCTGCTAAATATCGTCTTGCTATAACATTAAGATTCTTGGCATCTGGAGACAGTTATAAAAGTTTACACTATTTATTTAAAGTATCACCCCAAATAATATCAAAAATTATACCTGAAGTCTGCAGAGCAATTATCAAGGTTCTGAAGAATGAAGTAAAGGTAAAGTAAATTATTGTATTTGTATTGTACAGTGTATTCTAACCAAAATTGTTTAATTTAAATATAGAATGTCTAAAACAGGCGTTAATCATTGAAAATAAAACAAATTATTTAGAAATCAAACAAATATTATTGAATACAGTAGATGATTTAAAACAGTAATTACAAATTACTAATTATTGTTCAGTCTTCATAGGCCTTTAAAAATGCTTCATTTACAATGTTTTCTCTTGGTGGTACAATTACTTCATTTGATGTAATATTAATTGTGGGGGTTCTAAAATCCGGTTGGGTTACATAATAAGTTTGACTGGTGTTTCGAGAAGTGGAAGGTTGGTCTAAAATATTTATAATTGGCAAGGGTTCGGAATATGAAGTTTGGGAGGTTGAAGGCCGTTTTGGACTTGGTGATGCATTTCGCAAGGGTTCGGAATATGAAGTTCGGTAGGTTGAAGGCCGGTTTGGACTTGGTGATGGACTTGGCAAGAATACGGAATATGACGGGTACGGAACTGAATAAACGGGAGATGGCGTTTGATGTGTAGCTAGCCTCTCCTTAATCTTATTAATAAATAGAGTGTCTATGTCGTACATAAACAGCTTTCTTTCATCGGGGGGAAGTTCCCGCAATTTCTTTGCCAATAATTTTGAAAATAAATCGCAATCATCGTCTTCCTGTGGTGGTGGTGGACGTTCGTTCTGTCTTTTGTTTAAAATATTCGTTAATTGCCCAAATGCGGACGTCATTTGACGCTTGGCTAAATCTGTAGCAGGACGACGACGGTATAATGCCATAGGTTTTGGGGTATGAGAAGTTGATGGTTGCACTAAATTGTTATCTTCTTCATCATCTTCTTCAGTCGCTGCAGTTGTTTGCGATAATAGTTCCTGTAAAAAAATTATATGATTAAACTTAATATTTTAGTTTCTTTGTTAATAACTGACATTTACACTTTGATTTCAGATTCCATCAACAGCCGATGCTTGGATGGAAATAGAAAGTGGATATAGGAGCAAATTCCCACACTGTTTGGGTTCCATAGATGGCAAACATATTGTCGTCTCTATTTTGTATGTGTGGAATAACCAAAGACAGTGCGAATAAATAAGTTGAAAGAACCGGTCGCGTTTGTATTAAAAATAACCTACAAACCAAGGTGAACCTTATCTCGAAGAAAACATGGTCCATCGAACCTAGATGAATAACAGTGACAAATAAAATAAAGGTTCATTTGGAAAAAATCTATGTAATTGGAGTGAAATTATGTTTAATGCATAGTGGAATGTGGACAATTCATTGAGCAATAATACAATACAAATGAATCACAGCGAAATAACTATAAGGATTGAGAAATTCAGTGTATTATAGTGAATTTTCAAAAACATCTATGCGTAATTCATCATGGCGGCCATTGAACAGTAAGAAACAGCATTTTTCATCAAGGACAATCGTGTTGTTTGATAATTGGCAGTGTTCATAATGTAAACAAGTGGACAATTTCGAGCATTACGAGTACGTTGCGCTTAAGTATATCGTGCGAGTTACGACAAGTAAAAAGTGAACAAAGGAACTGATTTCTAGTAGTCTATCTATACACGTAGTGTTTTTCGACGTAATTCAAGATATTATTTGTTAACAAGTACAATGGAGGGAGTCGAAAAACGTATGGTAATTCAAGCAGACGCGTTAGAAAAGTTAATTTCAATTTCAATTTTCAATTTATTTATTAGCCATTTATAACAATATTGTTATACAAGGTATGTCAGTTCACAATTTATAGTTCAATTAAATCTTAATCTCAAGAGAAAAAATAAAACTTACAGTATCTAATTACATCATGTCATAAAAGTAGATTCGCTTATACGCATCGTCAAAAATTCATTCAAGGAATAGAGAGGATTTTGCTCAAAAAAAGATTTCAGAATACTTTTAAAGCTACTGTGGTTTTTGTTTGTAATACTTAAAGGTAATTTGTTATACATTATTATTTTTAGAAAAATACCCTGTTTTTGAACTTTTTTTAGTTTTACCTTTGGATGACGTAACTTTTCATTATTACGTAGATTATATCGATGAGAATCACCTTTTCTTGCAAAATTCGTGGATTTCCAACAAGCTATTATATATATATAAGGAAACAACGGTCATTATTCTGTCTTTCTTAAAATAGGCTCTCGCTGATGTACGCTTACTTACGTTATTTATAGTTCTTATTGCCCTTTTTTGTTGTTTGAGCACACTCTGTATTTCAGCAGCATTTCCCCATACTGTGATTGCATATCTTATAATTGAGTGAATATATGCATAATATACTGTAATGAGTGTGCGTTTGTCTACTAACGGCTTCAGTTTCATTAAAGCATAATTTGCACTGGCTATTCTTTTGCAAATATCTGTAATATGGTTAGAATGACAGATTGTATAGTCTACTGTATAGCCTAGAAATTTGTTTTCCGTTGTTGTTACTTGATTTTTATTTTTTTTAGCACAATACTTCATTACGATACTCTTGTTAGTATTCATCATAATTCCGTTTGCTTTGAACCAATCCTTAAGAATATCCATCGCGTAATCAACTTTATATCCTAAGTATTCTTCAGATTTGTCTCTTATACCTACGTGAGTGTCATCCGCAAATAAACTAATGTGAGACCAATTTGGCACAGCACTAGCAAGATCATTTATGTATATTAAGAATAATACTGGGCCCAAAATAGAGCCTTGAGGTACTCCTACATCTATTTTGCATATTTTTGAGTTGTAATTATCAACTGAGACAACTTGGCTACGGTTTGTTAGATAGCTTTCAATAATTTTTAGTTCTTTTCCTTGTAATCCATAGAATTTTAGTTTTGTTAATAAGATGTCATGTCTTAAGCAGTCAAATGCTTTAGACAGATCGCAATAAATACTGGCACACTTTTGTGACGAATCGAGTGATTCCAATATGAAGTATATGACCCTGCGAATAACCATTTCTGTCGATCTATTTTTTCGAAAACCAAATTGTGCACCAGTAAACAAGTTATTGCCTTCAAAATACTCCAAAAGTCTTGTTTTAATTATAGTTTCCAAGACTTTAGATAAGGTTGGTAAAATGCATATTGGTCTATAATTTCCAAGTTCAAAAGTGTCTCCTTTTTTATATAATGGTGTTATTTTACCTACTTTTAATATATCTGGAAATATTCCTTGTTCTAGACAAGACGCAGTCACTATATACATAAGTTCCATGAGGTAATCGTTACTTAGTAGTAGTTTGCTCATTGTGTCCGTGCTCATGTCATATATATCCAAAGATTTTTTCCTTTTCATATTAATAACACTTGTGTAAAACTTCATTTCGTCTAGATGTTTGAATATTAATGTCGAATTCGGCTTCTCAACACGATAGAGGTATTTTTCACATTCACTCTCATTAACATGCAAATTAGTAGTTAAGTTATGAGCAATACTTTTAAAAAATATATTAAATAAGTTCGCGATTTCTCTCGGATCCGAAGCATATTGACCATTTTCATTTTTTATTGGACCAATTTTACTTTTTTGATGATACCTCTTGTTGTGTCTTAACTGTTCATTTACTATCTTCCACGATTCTTTAATCTTATTACTTGATGATTGTATTATCTTATTATATTTAAATTTTTTTACTACCACCATGACTTTTTTAAGTGCTTTTCTGTATTTATTAATTTTTAATTCTTAACTCACAGTTTGTAATTATGCAATATTTACATTTAAGCTAAATTATTTTTTGTGATTTCTATTCCTTTGGTTGACTATTTCTTGAAATTCTTTGGGCGAATTGATTTTCTCGCTAAAAGAAATGCAACTTTATAACAGTAATTAATTGCATCTTGTAGTGTGTCCATTTTCTTATCAACATCATAACAAATTTCTTCTTTTAGTCGGCTAACGTCTTTGTTAAATAAAAAACGAAAATAGTTAAAATTAGTTTTCCATAAATTTCTTGTAATTATTTTATTATTTTTACTAGTTGTAAATTCGTCTTATAATTTAGTTGTATTACATTATGGTCAGATAATTTTCTATTTAATACTGACCCATTGGTGTTGTTCTTATTTATTTACAATAAAATTGTATATGCAGGAGGAGCTTTTACTTTGTATCCTAGTGGGTTCATTTATTGTCCATTTGCAATTGTAATTTTTTAAAATTAGGTCAAACTTGCTCAATTTGCTGTCTTTCTTTAATACATTAATATTAAAATCACCGGCTATTATAAAGTTTTTGTCCTCTCGGCAAACTCTAGAGTAACTTTTTTAATATATCAAAAAATAAATTTAGATCCTTTTCTGGTCTATACAAACATATTATTATTATTTTGGATGGCTGCAACTCAACTGCAGATATTTCACAATTCATCTCAAAAGACATTTTTTTAAGATCATTTCGTAATTTGTATACTAATCCTTTCTTAACATATATTGCAGTTCCGCCATGATCAAATATCTGCCGATTATAATAAGCAGCTAGTTCATAGTTTTCCAAATTCATGTACTGTATTTGATAATCTTTCCCCCATGTTTCCGTTAGACAAAGAATTTTACAATTTGTGTCGTTAATACAATGTTCAATTTCTGTATATTTATTGTGAATACTCTGAACATTCGCGTGAATAATTACCCATTCTTCAGATTTACGGGATTTAACGGAAAATCCATACTATGATGACTATTTATTATAGTATCATTTCTATTTATGATTGGTGTGCATTTGATAAATTTGAGCACAGTGTTTGCAAGGAAAGTATGTCCCATATTTGCTATAATTATTTCATTCAAATATTTTTTCAGATGTAAATATTTATTTTTCTGAAACTTTGTTATAATAATGTTAGGGTCTATGTATTTAACTTTTTCACTGAGATTAGCTATTTGTGCTATTTTACTGTTAAGGGTGTATATTATATCATTATTTTTGCCGTCATAACAAAGACCAGTAATTATTACATTAAAAGTTCTGGTCGGATCGTTTACTATATTGTTAATGAGCTGTACATAGTGTTTACCAGTTTTCAGTATTGCTTCATCGTAGTAAGTATTGATTAGTATAAAAGTATCTCCCTCGATAAGATCTTTGACTTTATAATTAACTTTATCTAAAATGTGAAGGTAACTTGCTCCTGGTTTACAAAAGTTTATAACTTCCTTCAAATCATCAACTTTGTTTCGTATTTCACTGCCTAATGCCTTTCCTACACCATCTGAACAAATGACAACCTTTTTAGATTTGATTGTTTTACTTTAAACAAAGCGTATGCTAACTACAAAAAGTCGCCGTAAGAAAGACTTAGCGTAGGTTATGTAAAAGGCAGATTGGAGACTCTAGAATCGTATTGGAAAGAATTTAACATTGTTCACGAGAAATTATTATGGTCTGTCCCTAAAGAAGAACGTTCTACGTTGAATTATTTCGCCGACGACGTGTTCAATGATTTTGAAGAAATGTATTACACATATAAAGGTGATATGAAATGCAGGTTGGATGTATTAATTCCCGATAAATGTGAAACACAAGAGGTATGTAAATCAAGCAAAATTAGTGACGTTAAATTGCCACATATTTCACTGCCTTCTTTCAATGGGAACTATACTGAATGGCAATCCTTTCATGATTTATTTGTGGCGCTAGTACATAAAAATGATTCACTAGAGAATGTTCAAAAACTTCACTACTTGAAGGGAAGTTTAGTGGGAGATGCTGAAGTATTACTACGCCAATTTCCCATCACTGAAAATTACAATGAGGCATGGTCAGTACTAAAAAAATGTTACGCTAACAAGAGGTATATAGCAAATTGTATATTCAAGAAGTTTTTACACAAAAGGCATTAACACATGAATCTGCTACAGGTATAAGACAACTATTGGATACTTCAGTAGAATGTATGAGTGCTTTGAAACAACTAGGCTTACCAACTACTCAGTGGGATGCAATTGTGAATTTCATCATGTTATCGAGACTAGATGCTGCCACTCATAAACAATGGGAAGAAGTGATTAGTAGTGATGAGTCAGATGACCTACCTAGCTTTGACAGACTGAAGTTATTCTTAGAAACAAGGTTTCGCACGTTGGAGATGGTGGAGCCTGCAAGTAAAGGTTACAAACCTGTTAAGCCTAAGACATTTCATGTTGCTAGTCGAGAATTGAAATGCGCCCTCTGCTATGAAAATCATTACCTATACCAGTGCAAGCAGTTCTCAAAGCAATCAGTAGATGACCGTTACAGTTTTGTGCAGAAAAATAAACTATGTTTCAACTGCCTCATACCAAATCATTCAGTATTCAAGTGTAGACAAAAAACCACATGCCAGATCTGCAAAAGAAAACATCACTCATTATTACATCGAGAAAAACAAGCAGATGATCAAACGCATACATCTGAAGATACAAACAACAACAACGACAATAAAGAAGTAGCACAGACAATGGTGTCTGCATACAAAATTTTGGGTGTGTCACAACCTGGTGGAGATGGAGACATCCTGCTGGCGACGGCGCTGGTGCCGGTGGTGGCCGCGTCGAGGCAGGTGCTGGTGCTGCGCGCGCTTCTGGACCAGGGTTCAGAGGCTTCCTTCGTCACTGCGCGAGCGGTGGAGTTGCTTGGTTTGAAGAAAACCACTGTCAGCGGAGTAGTCTCTGGTGTTAGTGAAGACAACCAGACAGCCATCAAACATATGATAGGATTATGCGTTAAATCCAGGTACGAAACAAATTTTATTATGAATGTAAATGCTTTCATATTAAAGTCATTAACGCGTAAGCTGCCAGCTAGAGTAGTCAAAGGTTTTGAATGGCCTCAACTTGAGGATATGAAGTTAGCCGACCCAACATTTAATGTTCCAAGTAGGATAGATATTCTTCTTGGTGCTGATGTGTTTGGAGAAATTATAGACGTAGGTTTATTGAAGGGACCAGGCAACGTAGTTGCACAAAAGACACACCTGGGTTGGATTTTATCAGGCGACACTAATCCTTCATTTAACGTTCCACAGCATATCACAAGTCTGTATATCACTAGACAAGTTCAAGAAGACAACAATCTGCTCAAGAAATTTTGGGAAGTAGAAACAGAACTATACAGCAAACAGAAAATGTGGACTAAAGAAGAGGAAAGATGCGAGGAAATATATCAAGAAACAACAAGAAGAGATGAAGACGGGCGGTATGTAGTTCAATTGCCTCTTAAGACAAGCTTTGAAGACACAGTGAAGCTATGTGGAAATACTAAGCTGCAAGCTGTTATTAGATTACAGCAATTGGAAAGAAGATTTGCTAAAGATAGCAACCTCAAAGCAGAATACAAGAAAGTTATACATGAATACAAGCAATTAGGTCATATGAAGAAAGCTGAAAAAGAGGAAGAAGGTAATTCAGTCTACCTAGCACATCATGCTGTAATCAGAGAGGACAAGGAGACATCCAAGGTACGAGTTGTGTTTGACGCATCTGCTAAAGGGTCAAACGGATGCTCCTTAAACAGCAGTATGATGACAGGACCCACTATACAACCAGATCTACGCAGCCTTATATTTATGCCCTGTATCGTCAAGTAAAAATGGACGACAAACACACAGATTTACAGAGAATAATTCAGAACAGAGTACAGAATCGGATTGAACAGCCTACAAATATTGGAAATTTACAAGACTGTATTAAAGATATGGATCTATTCTCAACCTCTAAGCATCTTACTATTGAGGACATTGGATTAACACAAGCACAACTGGAAAACACCAGTGACGTTATGATAGGACAATCATCTATTGTGAAAAGAGAAGAACAAGATTAGGGAAAATTAGAAGACGATAACGACCTCAAGAAATTATTGGGATTGCTCAAAAATTACTGGAATCAGTTAGAGGATCCTCTTGATGAAAGGATTATTGCAACTCTAAATGAAATCAGTATGATGAGTCAAGATCCTAGGAATGAATTAAGTAAAAGATACAGACACTTGGTGGTTATAAGTGGGGATGATTGGTTGGTTTTGTTGGATGACCTGATAGACATATGTATGTTTGGTCCTCAGGTGTTAAGATCAGCTCTTAGGCTTGCTACAACAGCATACACTGCAGCCTTAGCTAAAAATGCAAAAGAGACTATGCTGGAAATAGCAACCACCGCTACAGATATGAGAGCTATGATTGAAGAATCATTTACACAACAAGAGTCTTTTGTTCAATCTTTAGAACATTTAACTCTCTCCTGGAATAATTTAACATCTAGTATAACCAATTATACTGCAGAAATGGATAAAAAGACTTTGTTACTAACAAACTTAGGGTCAACTGTTAAGAAAACCTCAGTAAAAGCACCTTCAACTATCTCTGATTTTACACCTGATAAGCAAGTTGGAACAAGACTTCGAATTTCACCCGGTTACTCTTACAAATCGAAAGTAGGTGTGTTAACATGTACTGTTGATGATGATCTAGGGTTTACAGCAAATACAAGAGAGGGTATGACTATTGGAAAAATCATTAATTCAATCAAGAAAGTTAAGCCATTAGAGATCATTCTAAACAAAGATTTAACTATTTTATCAGAGTATGCAAGTAAAAATGATGACATTATAAATGTTTATCCTTCTTCTTCAGTGGAAAATAAAAGAAGTATATTGAGAGAATTAAACTCAAACGTTCCTGATCTGACTGATCAATGGGTGAAAATGGGTTAAAATACCAAAAATTATATATCCTCCAACACATCATATTTGTGATTCTTTAAGTGCCTTATTTGTTTTACTGTCTATAATCAATCATCAAGTTAGTGATATAATAATATTAAAAAGCTTTCTTTCATCGGGGGGAAGTTCCCGCAATTTCTTTGCCAATAATTTTGAAAATAAATCGCAATCATCGTCTTCCTGTGGTGGTGGTGGACGTTCGTTCTGTCTTTTGTTTAAAATATTCGTTAATTGCCCAAATGCGGACGTCATTTGACGCTTGGCTAAATCTGTAGCAGGACGACGACGGTATAATGCCATAGGTTTTGGGGTATGAGAAGTTGATGGTTGCACTAAATTGTTATCTTCTTCATCATCTTCTTCAGTCGCTGCAGTTGTTTGCGATAATAGTTCCTGTAAAAAAATTATATGATTAAACTTAATATTTTAGTTTCTTTGTTAATAACTGACATTTACACTTTGATTTCAGATTCCATCAACAGCAGATGCTTGAATGGAAATAGAAAGTGGATATAGGAGCAAATTCCCACACTGTTTGGGTTCCATAGATGGCAAACATATAGTTATACAAAGTCCACCTCATGTTGCAACTGAATACTTTAATTATAAGAAGACGTTCAGCTTTTGGCATTAGTTGATGCCAATTACAAATTTATATTTGCAGACATAGGATGCCAAGGGAGAATTAATGATGGTGGTGTTTTTAGAAATTCATTATTATGGCAAAAAATCTGTAATAATGAAATTGATTTTCCGACACCATGCCCACTTCCTGGATCAGAAACTAATGTGCCTTACGTTTTCATAGGAGATGGTGCTTTTGCACTAAGTATGCATGTTATGAAACCCTACCCAGGACAACATGACATTGGTTCACCAAAAAGGGTATTTAATCAATGTTTATCTAGGTCCCGAGTTGTAGTAGAAAATACGTTTGGGATTTTAACTACTGTATTTAGAATTTTCCGGCGGCCAATTGACTTAAACCCAAGTACTGTATCAGAAATTACAATGACCTGTGTGCTACTACATAACTATCTCAGGAAAATTTCTCCAGAAATATATACTCCACCAGGAACCTTTGATGTACTTGACAGTAACGGCAATCTAATAACAACTGGATCTTGGCGAGGAAACGAAACTGAATATAATGCAATGCAGGATATGCCAAACATACCCCGTAGATCACCAACATATGCCGAACAGATAAGAGAAGAATTTACTTCATATTTTTGTAGAACATCTAGATTGCATATTATTAATAATTGACAAATATATTAAAGGTACATGTGTCCTTATTGATAGGTACATTACTTGTTCCACAGATTACTTAGTATCATGGACATGGATAGAAAATATTAATTCATATCAGGTACCAATGATAATTAGCATAAGTAGGTTAATCAGTCACATCCTTTATGTACCTACTAACTAGTGTCTTAAGAATAAAATAAACCATGATAAAAAATTGTATTCTTTCTTACCCCTTCTGTGTTAATATTATTTGTGCATGTATATGTCGCAGGCATTTTGTGTGAATCAGCCGTTTACATATGGCGTCGTCAGTTTAGAAACGCTCGCTGTTAAGTAATTTGCCGAAGGCAAAATGACAACTCGTTCATTGTTATAATTTTAATGTTGGTTGTAGTTTAAGGGTGACCATGAAGAAAACACAGTTTGGAATAATCAGCCTAAATAATAATTAACTTTTTAAAGATAAACAATTAGGTGGGTACATTAATAATTTCTTGAAGTCTTGACATATTCATCTAACTTATATGACATTTCAAAGATATCAAATGATACTATTTAAGATATATAATAATTTTGAATTGTTCTTGTTAAAATTTTTAATGTTTTGGTTAGTTCAATATCAATGTAAAAATCCGTATTTCAACGAAATCACTTAATATTTCCCAATACCCCTACATAATTAAATACAAATATATTCAAAGAACAGGATATTAAATATTGTTAAAATCAAGAATATAAATAGGCGGGTTTTAATAATTAAATCAAGAATTATTTATTTGCGCGTGTCAAACTTGTGTGACATTTGGACCCACAAAGAATATTCTTTTTAAAACATGCACATCCGCTATTTTAACACTGCCTTTTAGCCGACTTGCATATACTTGCATAAGCATTTACCAAAACCTTTTCCTCCAAATAAAGATTCTTTAGAAATAGATTCTCTTAAGGAATTATCTTATATTTGAAGAATTTCTTACACCAAACTTAAACCAGTTTTTGATAAACAAGTAATGGTACTTGTGTAAGAAACAAAACTAATTATTTATATTGCCGCTATAATATGTATATAGCGTTTGAATTATCAATCTAATGTTTAGGCACAATATATAATGAATCGGCAATATACATTTTTCCTTCGGCATATTACATAATAGCGAGCGTTTCTAAACTGACGACGCCGTATGTAAACGGCGGTTTCATACAAAATGCCTGCGACATATACATCGTCAGATCCTGGAATAAAAGTCATTTTGTCAAATTCAAGCATCATTATAAATCAGTGACATCAAAGTAGGTAGGTAATTAAAAATAGTGGAATAAACCGAGTAGCACTTAAAAAAATAACCTGCACCACTCCGAATGGTATCCTGTTTTTTCTTGACGTGTCTTCGGAATGTAGCCATAAGTATTTCTTTTTTGTTTTTAAGCTCTTTTACACTTTTCTTCATTATAGAACTAAGGCGCGTCCACGCATCGTTCACCTTTTTCTATCTTTATGATTTGCATGTTTTGGATTCCAGATGCATTCTTCATTCTGATATGCCTCTAGGAATAATAGTATTATGTCCTCAGACCAATCAGACATTTTCCTGAAATAATTACAATGTTATTAGCATAAATCTCATAAAATGTTACGACTCAATACATATAGCAGACTGACATGTTAAAATTAGGAGCTAGCAAGTGTCGCCACAGTTTATCACAACTAATTATCAAACCCATTACATAAGGTTTGGTTTAAATTATGTATAATGAGATACTATTACTTACCGAACGCTTAAAAGACAACAGAATTATACCACAGTACAGCGTAGATCATGCGTCGAATTTTTTATTTTTATTTATTAGCATTGGGTTCACCTGCTTAAAACATTAACAAAATAATCTTAGGGAGAACACGAAATAAAAAAGTAGCCGGCATTCGATTTTTTCATCTCCGATTGTCGTTCTGAGTAAATAATAAGCGCGAATAAATGGCGAATAAGCGCCTACGTTGGCAACACTGCTTCCAATTGCTACGCAATATACCTTCAAACTGATGTGAAGGTAATATTAACCTTGGAAGAGAAAATAGCTGCCCCGCAGACAGTGATCAAGTAGCTTAGCTTAGTTGAGCGGCATCTCGTTATCCGTAAGTATGTCTTTCACTACGTCCAGGCACTATTTATGTAATTGGAACGTTGGTGAAAAGCGACTCCATGTCAAACCTCACCATTATATCTTCAGGTTCATTATATCCTTTATAATCTGGACAATATGACGCGATTTTTTTACAAAAGACGATGTTTTTTTTGGTTGATGTGCTTTGGGATTATAGAGCTTCTCATACTCGTCTTCACTAAATAGGTCCTTGTTCTCAAGTACGGCAGAGAGGATTTGACGCGTTACTTTAGCTGTCGGGTTATATGAGACCGCTTTGTACACCTTTTTATCACTTAGCAAATCCCGTACCTTCCCCTGGTATTCACTGGTATTTATCACTACAGTGGCGTTTCCCTTATCAGCCTTTAGCACCAAAATGTCATCGTTTTCTCGAATTTTCTTTGATGCTAGACGCTCTTCCTTAGTGTTGTTATCCGCTGGAGGTTTTGACGCAACGTCATCAAAATGTGGGCCTCACTTAGTTTAATACCCGGTATCATAAGTATTTAATATTTAAAAAGTGAATATTGTCTTTAATTTGTCGCAAGTAATGCCTTAACATACAATTATTTCAAAGTCGCTCTTAAATTTGTTTGCATTAATCAAAATTGTATAGAACTTTCGTTCATTTAAATAAAATCAACCGATTCTTTGTAGATATTTTCACTAATTAGGACAAATGGTCCTGGTTGCCGATATTTTTACACTCAATCCTTTTATGCACTGTTTACAAATGTTTTTAGATAAGAATATTACTTTAATATTCACTCTTGACTCAGACTCAGAGCTCCTCTTAAAATCTTGTTTATTATAGTATGACCGTTTAAATGAGTCCTCGCCCGCGCGGTACAGGGGCGCGGGGTATGACGACAAAGGGGACCGAGAGAGAGGCGGGCGGCAGGCGCGCGCGCATGAGACGAAATGCACACTAGACAGATCCTAAGATATGTGACGTCATAGTGGATAACGGTGAACAAATTGTGATTTTTTTATTTGAAAATCAATTGATGATTACATAAAATTTAAAAGAAAGAAAATGTAACTTGTGTAGGTAACTAAATAAAATATTTAGTAATAAACTTTTGTACTATTTATTAAATACAAGAATTATCAAAATTATAAATCAATCACTTATGTCCATATCAATATCAGTGGAACTTGATTCTTCACTTTCAAAGCTGCCGTCATCAGAATCATCAGAGTCGTCCTGAGTGTTAATAATAAAATCAACAGCATCATCCCGAAGTCCGTCATGTTTACAGTACTCGTCCTCGATTTTAATTACGTGGTTAACACAATGCTCCCACTTTTCTATGGAATATTCAGCAAATATTCCCTCTAATGTAATTTTTTTTGGTCCAAATTTGAGTCGACACTTTTTTGTGCTAATTGTCCCTTAATATCACCCCAGACCATCTCAATAGGGTTCAGGTCTGGGTGGTATGGAGGCAAACGCAACACTTCATGTTCGTTTCTCTTCAATAACTCGTCAATTTTATAAATATCTTCCGTTTCTGTATTTTTAATTAATTTAAATAAGTCATCCTTTCTAAACTCATCATCAAAAGCCACGCCTTGTCGTCGTAACCATGTTT